AGTGCCATTGTGGCAGTTGTACAGGTTTATCAGCCAAATGTAACATTTTAATGTTTATTACTTGAAACGTAAACTTGGCTTAAAATATATTTTGTCCTAACAGACAATCCTTGGCTTCTATTCATTCTTTGAATAGTTTTTGAAAAAGAAACCCCAGTTCCATTTTACTCAAACCAAACGTGTGATCAGAGCAGGAATTAGACTTCCTCTTGTCTAAACACACGGACAAGAGTCAGAATGTTTGACATCTGTCGAGAGCGCAAGGATAACATTGAACCTCCAGCACTATGTTTTGAGCAAAATCACGGCAGGACCCAGGGTTGTTTCAGGGGATGACAGACAGTGTAAAGATTCATCTGCCTTTAGAGCCCAGTCACTCTCACCAGGTTTGCTTGTCCTGTCAGCATATATTTATACTGCAAACATATTGAGGGAGCTAATTAGCTCTTATCAGACAGTGCACCTTTAAAAACAGACATAAATCATTGGACAGATGGTGAGGCAGCAGAGGCATAGCTCTGTACTAAGTGTCTGAGTCTGTCCTCTGAACAAACACAGCCTATGGCCACTGTTGTTGTAGTAGGGGATGACCTCTGTTGGTTTTTGCCCTCCATTTTCACAGGTTTTTACTTATTTTTCTTTATTTTTATGCAAAACTGTGAAAACACACGAAGTCCACAGTCATGGCTGATGATGCTGATACAGTGCATTCAGAAAGTATTCAGACCCCTTGACTTTTTCCACATTTTGTTATGTTACAGCGTTATTCTAAAATTGATTAAATAAATAAAAATTCATCAGCAATCTACACACAATACCCCATAATGACAAAGTGAAAACAGGTTTTTATAAACTTTTGCAAATGTACTTGATTGGAGTCCACCTGTGGTAAATTCAATTGATTGGACATGATTTGGAAAGGCACACACCTGTCTATATAAGGTCTCACAGTTGACAGTGCATGTCAGAGCAAAAACCAAGCCATGAGGTCGAAGGAATTGTCCGTAGAGCTCCGAGACAGGATTGTGTCGAGGCACAGATCTGGGGAAAGGTACCACATTTTTCTTGCAGCATTGAAGGTCCCCAAGAACACAGTGGCCTCCATTATTCTTAAATTGAAGAAGTTTGGAACCACCAAGACTCTTCCTAGAGCTGGCCGCCTGGCCAAACTGAGCAATCGGGGGAGAAGGGCCTTGGTCAGGGAGATGACCAAGAACGCGATGGTCACTCTGACAGAGCTCTAGAGTTCCTCCGTGGAGATGGGAGAACTTTCTAGAAGGACAACCATCTCTGCAGCACTCCACCAATCAGGCCTTTATGGTAGAATGGCCAGACGGAAGCCACTCCTCAGTAAAAGGCACATGACAGCCCGCTTGGAGTTTGCCAAAAGGCACATAAAGACTCTCAGACCATGAGAAACAAGATTATCTGGTCTGATGAAACCAAGATTGAACTCTTTGGCCTGAATACCAAGCGTCATGTCTGGAGGAAACCTGGCACCATCCTTACTGTGAAGCATGGTGGTGGCAGCATCATGCTGTTGGGATGTTTTTCAGCGGCAGGGACTGGGAGACTAGTCAGGATCGAGGCAAAGATGAACGGATCCTTGATGATAACCTGCTCCAGAGCGCTCAGGACCTCAGACTGGGGCGAAGGTTCACCTTCCAACAGGACAACGATCCTAAGCACACAGCCAAGACAACGCAGAAGTGTCTGAATGTCCTTGAGTGGCCCAGCCAGAGCCTGGACTTGAACCTGATCGAACATCTCTGGAGAGACCTGAAAATAGTTGTGCAGCAACGCTCCCCATCCAACCTGACAGAGCTTGAGAGGGCCTGCAGAGAGGAATGGGAGAAACTCCCCAAATATAGGTGTGCCAAACTTGTAGCGTCATACCCAAGAAGACTCGAGGCTATAATTGCTGCCAAAGGTGCTTCAACAAAGTACTGAGTAAAGGGTCTGAATACTTATGTAAATGTAATATCTACGTTTTTTATTTTTTATAAATTCGCTAAAATAAAATAAAAACCCGTTTTTGCTTAGTCCTTATGGGGTATTGTGTGTAGGTTAATGAAGAAAAAAATGTTTTAATCAATTTTAGAATACGTCTGTAATGTAACAAAATGTGGAAAAAGTCAAGCGGTCTGAATACTTTCCGAATGCACTGTATGTGTCAATGTGCTTGCATTGGATGATTTTAGGATGTTAATGAGTTATATATTTGTTCCCATCCCTCCAAATCACCTACACGTTGTCTGGAATATGCTTTATCAAATTTGTCACCAATATGACATTCATGCTTCAGATTTTGAATGTATGAATAATAGAGAAGCGCAAAGGATCTTTGAGTAAAAATGTTCCATAATCATGTTCTGGCTGAAGTGTACTTGTGATATAGGACACCGGGGATATATCCTGTCCAGGGTGCTGTTTGGGGAATGAAGTGAGGGTATTTGGACGACTAGATATGAAGATTAAGATTGCCATGAAGAAAGAATCTGGCATCCCAAACAGGAGTGGCTGGTGGTCGTCCTTAGGGTGGAAGGTATAGACATGATTATATACATCTGTGTTGTAATTCTATGGCATTCTTTGAGGAGGAGTTCTTTATCATCCATGTCCATTTGCACTGACCCATGGTCCGTTGAGCCGGGGTGGGTGTGTAGGTGGTGGTAGGGTGGGATCGCTGGGTCTCCTCAGAGTGTCTAAAATGTTTACAAACACCATCATCCTAAGTGTGGTCTGTACAATAGGGGACAGCGGTGGAATCATTCAGCACTGCTGGAGGAATGTGTGGAAGCCAAGTGAAGAATCTTTGCATTCCTGTGCTACTGCAAACACAGGAGTCCCATACAGAAGATTAACTCTTTGTGTCAACAGTCAAGGAATCTCCCTCTCTCAGGCCTAACTAAATAGAAAAGCCCATCTCTCTTAAAGAGAAAATCTCCATGCATCCTGGATCCTGAACCTCACCCATGGAGAAGGGTATTAAATGTTCCCACTAAAAAGGGAATATAAATGTTTGCTTTGCTCAAATGACTCTGTACATCCTGAGTACTTTCAGGGACACTTTCTCAGCCAGAGGATGTCATGGTTGGAGACAATAACCTTCTGTATCTCACAGAAGTACCAGGATTCTCGTACCCAAGAGGCTGAAAATTGATCAACTGTGCAACATCAACAATAACATGCTCTTACTGAAGCTGCCTTGGTGGTGCTCTATACATTTTTTTGTTGTTGCATTGTGGTACTAATCAGTCTCCCCGAAATCAGACTAGTGATTGGGGTGGGGGGATCGGAGCGGATATATAGTTTGACAGTGACTGCCAAAGAGCATAGTATCCTTTCTAATGAAAATGTCATCAATGACACTCATTATTCTGCATGTTGGCAAATTTGTAATGTCTAACTCCTAACAGCCTGACAATTAGGGACCATTTTGTTCTCCATAAACAGTGACATATGGTTGAGAAGAGCCCAAACTGTCCAACAAATGTCAAAGGTTTCATACAATTGTCAAGAAGCTGGGGCTATGAATGGAAAACTCTACCTCATAAGAACACAGCAGATACTGTACCTCCACGAGTTCTATTAAGAGAAGGAGGAGTGTATCAAGGCTAGAGGGAGATGGAGGGTAACTGGAGGGGAGGGGATTTAAATGGGCAACATGTTGAGAGGTAGTGAGAGGCAATTAGTAGCAAGTATGTCACTTTACCGAGGAAATGAACAGAGCAAGAAGACCATTCAAATTAACCAGGTTGCAAAGTGTGACAGCTGGCTCCTCGTGCACTTTTTGAATATATATATAATTGCAACTTTTGGAAAGATATTTATAGATTTTTTGACTTGCTGATTTGTTAGACACGTTCTGCTTAACATATATTTTGCTTTAGGAGGGAGATTTTATGTGCAGTTTTTCACAGACGTTGCTGTAAGCTACTTAAAAAAGACAACAATATTATTTTCTTTTTTTAGTGTGCATTAAATAACACAAATGCATATATATCAATTTACTTTCTGAGAGCATTTTTCTGAAGCGTGGTCAACTTCGTCAGGTTACACTTGAGAGCGCTGTCCTACATGACAATGCGCTCATTGCCTCACGGTTATTGAAGAAGGAACGAGCGAGAAGCGTCTCTGCTGTAATTTCTTCTCTGGACTGGAGGGTTATTACCAGAATCTCTACTCTGCTTATCTGCGCTTTGGTGGATTTCGCTCGCATTGTGAAACTTCATCATCTGGCCTTTTGACAAGAAACACGAAATGAAACCCTTTGCCTCGTTTGTCATCCAGATTGCGGTGACGCTCCAACTTCAGCTTTCACCTGCTCAGGTATGCTATGCTTCAATATGCTATACAGAACTCAGCACAAATGCAATATTCATTTTCATTTTTATTGAAGATACGATTCATAGCCGAGGCTATTCACCAATACGGCATATGATTGGCCTATATATTTGAGGATAGGCCTAACAAATTATCGTTATGATTATTTGCATGATTATAATGATAATTATGATTATAGTTATTCTTATTATTAATAGGCTAATATTAATCATATCTATATATTTTTTTATTACACTGATATTGACATATCAGATTAGCCTATCTATTAACTTTACAAAGACTTCTTTCTAACTGGCTCAGCAAAAGCCGTTCAGACCGCTATGTGTGATGGCTCATTGTGTCTTGATACTATGATCCCTTTTTGAACGCGTGCCATGCTGAAACAGTTGAGTCATGAGGTGGAACGTGACAAACTGCATCCCTCTCTGTCTCAGACTTTAGAGGTTTTCACAGGGTTTCCAGGCTACATTTTGGGGAAATTAAAAACTTTATGAATGATATGCAGTAATGGATATCTTCAGTATGTTAATTGATTTCTTTATGAACTGTTCAGATGAAACTCGACCTGCCTCTGACCACTCTCTCCTTCCTTCAGCCTAATTAATTTGAAATTTGCCAATTTCAGAGTTAGAAAAGAAAACCATTGTCTCCAAATGTCCACCTCCAGGAAGGCAGGCGAGGTATGAGTATCAGAGCTTGGTATTTCTGTTAGATGTTTAGAGACTTGGCAATGTCCCTCTGGTCAAAATGGCAAGAAAGTGCAGTAACAAGAAATTCAAGTCTCTGCACTTTTCACCTCACCTGCTACAAGCTATAATCTTCTCTCCATCTTTCCTCTCAGCTTGAAAACTGGAGAATGCACAATAATGATGGTGTGTACGTGTATGCGTGTGTGTCTTCTGTGACTATACAGTATTCTTATTATCACAAAGCTGGTCTGTGTTTTCTGCCTTGGCGTTGCCAGACTTTAGCCTTAGTCCCAAGATGTACAGCAATACGTTTTCCCAGAACTGATAGTGCCCCATTCAAAGTCTTGTGCCATGCTGCAATAACACTTGTAAGTCGACGTGCCACCGGACATTGGCAAATGTGTCTGCTTTGAGTGCAGCACCAGAGAACCCATTCAGTCTCTCTCTTCATCTTAAGGTGAGCAATTGCTGGCTCTGTCTACACTGCAGCTAAGTCCCTGGCCTCTCATGTTTAATGCAGAGCAGGTTGCCTCCAAGGGCCCATTCACAACCATTGTCTCACCGTTCATAGACTGACTCTGCCTATTGGTCTGAATGGCACTGCAGTGGCTGCCCTGTGCCAGCAGGCGTTGTGTGAATGAGGAGACTTGAGTTTCACTGCACTGAGACTCAGCTGTGCTCTAAGCATGGGGCAACCAGAGCTGCACATCCCTCTGGGTTTTCCATGCAGAGCAGAGCCCTAGGTCAGAGCTCAGAGGGAGAGACTGGCTGGCTGGCTACTACAGGAACAGGAGTCCCGTGTAGCTCAGTTGGTAGAGCATGGCACTTGCAACGCCAGGGTTGTGGGTTCGATTCCCACGGGGGCCAGTATGAAAAAGAAAATGGGGGAAAACATTTATGCACTCACTAACTGTAAGTCGCTCTGGATAAGAGCGTCTGCTAAATGACTAAAATGTAAATGGAGAGTGGGAGTCTGGGAGACAGAGGAGAGGCAGAGGCAGGGGCAGAGGCAAAGGCAGGGACCGCCACATCATAAATACTAATCCACATGGTCAGCTCATGGCCTGCTTAGTCAAAACATGAGGGGTGAGAAAATCCAGCTCTCTTAACACGTATCAGGTTAAGCTGCTGTCCACAGTTTGGAGACAGATGGGGAATGGAAACTACACAACCCTGAGCTACAACATACAGTAAAGGAAGCCTTTTGAATATACACTGAACAAAAATATAAACGCAACATGTAAAGTGTTGGTCCCATGTTTCATGAGCTGAAATAAAAGATCCCAGAAATTTGAACACATTTGTTTACATCCCTGTTAGTGAGCATTTCTACTTTGCCAAGATAATCCATCCACCTGCTTGAGGCAAATGGTGGTCACACCAGATACTGACTGGTTTTCTGATCCACGCCCCTACCTTTTTTTTAAAGGTATCTGTGACCAACAGATGCATATCTGTATTCCCAGTCATGTGAAATCCATAGATTAGGGCCTAATGAATTAATTTCAATTGACTGATTTCCTTATATGAACTGTAACTCTGTAAAATCTTTGAAATTGTTGCATGCTGCGTTTATATTTTTGTTCAGTGTATACTGTATCTCACTTCTCAATGTCACCTTGATATACTGTACTACTTTATAACAGTGCTGTTCTGGGAGAGAGCCTGGATGGAATGCTTCTGTTAAACTGCTGCCCTGCTAATACTGAATACACTCAATGCTGAAATAGGGTCTGCCGGGGAAATCCTGAGTGTTTATCCACGGTGCTGTAGTGTTGGTCCAGTTTACGTTTCCAGATTACCGTAAAATTGTCAGATGAGTGTAAACCCATTTTCCTGCAGTTATTCCAAGATAAGGCATTTTACTTACCCTTTTAGGAGTCGTGATATGCTGCTTTGATATGCAGCAATACATTATTTCCAGACGTCTCACACAGTAGCCAAAGGAGGATTATCAGGATTTTCTCCTTCTTCCCTATCCCACACACTTACTTCATGATGAATTCATCACATGCAGCATTCCTGGGGAACTCCCTGCGTTAGCTCTGAGGATAACGATCAGATCATAATGTGTATTTTTGCACGTCTTCATCTAACCAGAAACATTCAATCTTACTGAATGTGACGTGTCACTTGAATACCATGTTTGGATGGGATCTGGGTAATGGCCTATTTGAGCAAGCTTTAACAAAGTACCGAAACTTAAACAAAGTGCTTATGCTTTGGACACAGTATGCTGTGTGCGATCATCCTCAATAGGGTTAGCTAGGCTACACTGAGTGCTCAGAGTCATTCTGCTTATGTGAAGAGGAGGTCTGGGATGTAGGTATCTACCCTGCTGGGCCCACAGTAAACCATTCTTCAGGCAGGCCAACCAAAATGGAAAAGCAAACATGGCCATGTGGTTGGGGAGACCATTTATAAATGTCCCTCTCCTGCTCTGGCTCTTTCAGGGTGGAGTGTTTCTCCTCTCTGAAATATACACCCTTAATTGATGATGATGGTTTCTCGTCAGTGTCGCGGCTGCCACTGTTGACACAGGTTTTTATGACTCTCACTGTGACTCCTGTCCAATATGAGAGTTCAGGCTGACTGGGCCATGAAGGGAAGTGTTTACAAACCTGGGCCGGTTACTCATCCTGCTCCTTTCTTATGAACGAAGGCACACCTTAGAAGGAACTTGTGCCGTGCATGACTGTGAACTGGTGTGAAATGGCTAGCTAGTAAGCAGTACTTGTTAGTAGCGTTCAATCGGTGACGTCACTCGATCTGAGACCTTGAAGTAGTTGTTTCCTTGCTCTGCTTTTGTGGAGTGATCGGTAATGATGCTTCGTGGATGACCATTGTCGATGTGTTTAGAGGGTGCCTTGTTCAAGCCCAGGTTGGGGCAAGGAGAGGGACAGAAGCAACACTGTTACAAGTGCTTGTGTGCGTGTGAGTGAATGTGTGTCTGACTGTCTGTGCATCTCTGTGTGTGCATATGTTTAAGTGTGTATTTTTGTCAGCGATCCATTTATTAGAGACAGTCAGAGTTATAGATGGGTTATCTCTATACAGTCAGGATGGGAGGCACGTGGGTTTCCCTTTAGAACAATGGTGGCCTGGCTGTCTCACTGTCTGATGATCATCCAGTCATCAACCCCCTCTTTCATAAGGGACACATTCCCCATGTTTGCCATCCACCAGTTGTGTTGCTCACATTCCTTATAACAGATTCTCTATGAGGATGGTTGGATGTGGATGAGTAAGTAAGAATTTCACAACAGTGGTGGCTTTTTCATAATGTTCTCCTCGATAGTGGATTATCTGTGCATTAGAAGCCTCTATGATGAATGAACAGGTACAAGACGGTTCCTCTGTCTCCATTCCAAGAAGAGGGTTTGTGTTAGATGATAATTTCCCTCCTTGTTTACCTCATTTGACTCTGTGAGAGAGTGCAATCCTCTGATTTGGGGGAAGGTCTTTATCATAACATTTCACAGTTGATTCATTTCCCGAGCGTCCCTGAGCTGGAGCACAGGGGAAAGCATGGCCTCCAGTGCCCGGTGCTGTGTGTGTTAGTGTGTGTGTGTGTGAGTGAGGAGAGGATTCTGTACAGGTGTTTCCTTTACATCAACACTCGGAGCAAAACAATACTTGAGTCTGAGCATCTGTGTCACATACAGCCAATTACCCCAGCCGATACTGAAGAGATGCAGCTATTTATACACTGACCCTGTGGTAGCCGACACAACCAGGCCACAAAGTAAACACCTGTGACTTCAGATTACACAGCAGACAACTAGTCACACTCTCTCTCTAGGATCACAAACTCAAAATCATGCACGCAGGCACGCACATACACACACACACACACACACAGATCAATTCCACCTTCCTCTAACTCCCTCCTCATGGAAGCTCTATGTCAGAGCTCATCTGAGCTCATGTGATCCAGACTAAGTGAATGAGCATGCCATACTGTTTGGACATACAATGGCAGGGAGCTGCTGGCTGTCATGGCTGTTGTAGTTGCTACGTTGATATAGTGACAAAGAGCCCCCCTTTACTCCTCTTTAGTTGTAATTCCCCAGCCCAGGGGAGAGGTGCAATCACAATCAGGAAATATGGATTTCTCCTTCCTCCTACGAGGGAGGGGACTGGGGAGCGGTGGCGCTCGGGGCAGCAGTCCACTCACCAGACTTTAATCTCCCATCTGGCTGTAATTTACTGTGGTTTACACAGGGTGTACAGCATTTACTGTAATAAGGACCACAATTACCGCTGGTCAGCCTTATCTGAAGATGTGTGTGTGTGTGTGTGTGTGTGTGTGTGTGTGTGTGTGTGTGTGTGTGTGTGTGTGTGTGTGTGTGTGTGTGTGTTCTAGCCTATATATGGTATGGGGGTTGATACATTTTACGTTCAAGTCTGACATTTTAAAGTGGAAATTACAAACTTTAGAATACTTTTTAAATCTTGAATACACTAGAAGTTTGCATTTCTCATCAACAAAAGAGTGATCAAATGAAGATCCTACATCTGTAACTGGATGCTTATGTTCCTAAAACACACAATAACACAACTGTTCTCCCCCTCCTCCATTAATACACTTATCTTTTCCATTATGACAAGCCCAAGAAGCACTAATCCTTTATGAGTTGATTTTTGGCTCTCCAGTTTTTTTAATGATCTTACAACGTTTATATTTCACCTGTATCCTAATGTATCCTGAATATGCTGCATATACTGCTGAGATATTTCCACGTGTGTTCAGTGGGCGTTGGTTTGGTGGGGTTTGGGGAATGCTCTCTGATCATGGAGTTATGATGTGCCCACCCTAGAGCTCCAGCTGGACACTGTCAGACCCACAGGGGGGCTGCTGTCATTGGGGCTATGTTCACCTAATGTATACAAAACAGAGCGCTGCTCTCCCTTTCAGCCAGTGGCGATGGATACGGCGTTACACAGACTAATTGAAAAGCCTCATAATTAATGTTATGGTCATGGATTTGTGGAATCCAATGCTTAAGAGGAAATGCTCAAAAAATACCCTGTAAATAAGGGAATTATTACTCAAAAGTCAAATTTATTGTTCATCCGTCTGTTGTGTCTGTCTCTTGCTTTGCTAGTGACTGACCACTGCTCTGTGTGGTCTCAAGTTTAGAGCCAGGCTCACCATTCAGCAGGAGGCCTACAACATGACACAGTTCAAGTGGCCCCTGTGTTTTGGGCCAGGGCATCCCAGGAGGGTAGTTGCTGTGCTCCACTGGATTGGGTCCTGAGGTGGGGGTGGGATGGTGGCTGGTTTTTCCCTAGCCCCCTAGCCCCCTAGCCCCCTAACCCCTACACTCACTGACCTGCAACACATCCAGGGCCTGTCAACCCACAATGGCATTACCACAGATTCAGGGCCTTTCCCCCTTCCTTATCCCTTTCCTTGATAAAGCTTAGGTGAAAGACATAGAGGGAATATGATCCCTTCTGTCCTGTGTATTTTCTACACTGTAATGAGACACACTATCACTGTGATATTTTGGGGCTGGTGTGTGTGTCTGTTGAATATCAACTGCTATTTTTGCTTTCACTCCCATATCAAGACTGACATGAGTGAAGCTGGCCTTATTGTCTCAAGCGGGCCTGTTACTGTCTCTTTCTAGTTTCTAAAACTGTCTCCTCTGTCCGGTGATATCTGGCCAGCTCACTCTGTACTGTAGCAGTTTGACAGTCCAACAGGAGACGAGACAGACAGACGATGTAATCAAGTTCAGTGTAACCTCCGCCATTACAACCACTCTCAGGGGGGGAAGAGGTCCTGTCTATTTGGACCTGCTGCTATGCTATTAAGTCTTTGATGTGTGTTATGAACAGGAATGTTTGATTCGGCAAAACTTCCTGCAGGGCTCATAAGAGGATATACACAGGGCTGTTCCTGAACAATATTATCCCAATTTCATGGGACTATTCATCTTTTCATTTTTCAAATGGCATAGTTATTTCCACAGTCTCCCATTGACTCCTGGACCTCTCAGTGCAAGGAATCAAAATAAATAGTGTTTGTCTGTAGTCCAGTCATTATGTATCAAAGTGTTGTGATTAATGTGGTTGTAATTATTAGTACAATCATTCTAATAAACCAACAGGGCATCTCCGCATCTCAACTGAGACTCACATCCAAGAAGTCCTAAATTACAATTCTTGTTTGGTCTCCATTTTATTTTATTTTTGCTCCTTAAACTTCCTCCCTGCCTCCCACAGATGGCTTGAAGAGAGAGGAGGTTAACAATGACACAGCTCAGCTGTGTGGGAGTCAGGACAGAGAAGAGTTCTGTAGTGTATAGAGCATGCGGCACCAGCACAGGGCACAGAGCATGCAGCCCAGGCAGGCCCTCATATCTGACCCAGTGTCACGCCCTGGCTCTGGGGACTCTTAAAGGTTGAGCCAGGGTGTGGATTTTTCTATGTTTAGTTTTTCTATGTTTTCGTTCTAGATCGTTTAGATCTATGTTGGCCAGGGTGGTTCCCAATCAGAGGCAGCTGTAGCTCGTTGTCTCTGATTGGGGACCATACTTAGGCAGCCTGTGTTGCACTAGTATTTGTGGGATCTTGATCCGTATAGGTTTGTGTTGTTGTAACCTCAGGACTTCACGTATCGTTTGTTGTTTTTGTCGTTAAGTATGTTAAATAAAGTATGTACGCTTACCACGCTGCGCCTTGGTCCGTGTCTTCAGTCAACGATCGTGACAGAAGAACCCACCATAAGAGGACCAAGCAGCGTGCCCAGGAGGAGAAGATGGCGATGTCACAGGTGGGCAAATGGTGGTCTTGGGAGAAGATATTCGTGGGCAAAGGGCCATGGGCAAAGGTGAATGCCCAGGCAGGAGAGGAGACTGTGGAGGCGCGCTACAGAGAGGAGCAGCGGCAACGCAGAGGGTACCGGCCGAGGAGGAAGCCCGAGAGACAGCCCCAAGAAAAAAAATGTGGGGGGCTAAAAGGGTGGTTGGCAGAGCCTAGAGGTAGAGCAGAGCCAACTCCCCGTACTCAGGCTAGGAAGCGTGAGACTGGGCAGGCTCCGTGTTATGCGGAGCCACCTACTGTGCCGCGAGTGTTCCGGCACAGTCCTGTACGTCCTGTGCTAGCACCACGCACGTGTCGTGCTAAGGTGGGCATGCAGCCAGGACGGGGAGTGCCGGCTCAACGCTCGTGGCCTCCAGTACCCCTCCTCGGTCCCGGATATCCTGCGCCAGTGCCACGTGATGTAGCGCCAGTACGAGTGCACAGCCCTGTACGTCCTGTGCTGATGCCTCACACATATTGTGCGGAAATAGGCATTCAGCCAGGATGGGTTGTGTCAGCTCTCCGCTCCAGACCTCCAGTCCGCCTCCACAGTCCGGCCCGGCCCGTTCCAGCTCCCCGCACCAAGCCAATGGTGCGTGTTCCCAGTCCAGCCCGGCCTGTTCCTGCTCCCCGCACCAAGCCAGTGGTGCGCGTCGTCAGCCCGGTCCGGCCCGTTCCTGCTCCCCACACCAAGCCAGTGGTGCGTGTGTCCAGTCCGTGTCTCTGATTGGGGACCATACTTAGGCAGCCTGTGTTGCACTAGTATTTGTGGGATCTTGATCCGTATAGGTTTGTGTTTGTTGTACCTCAGACTTCACGTATCGTTTGTTTGTTTTTGTCGTTAAGTACGTTAAATAAAGTATGTACGCTTACCACGCTGCGCCTTGGTCCGTGTCTTCAGTCAACGATCGTGACACCCAGGGAAGGAGGGAACACACAGCAGCTAGAGTTGTTTCATAATGCAGGAGAGAGGGCGAATCAGATGCAGGAGAGAGAGTGAATAATTTCAAAGTTTCTGTGTGTTCTCTAAAGTTGGGTACCAGGCCTGTTCTGTAATGAATAACAATACCTAAGAGAAACCTAAGTTTCCAGACACATGACATTAGCAGATGTTACAGATACCCCTTACAGTGAAGCGCACCAGTGTCCTGTCAGAGGGAGCAGTTTAGTATAGAGTACAGTACCACTCAGCACTTGATAAATGGATGTGAAGAGATTACCATGTAAACCTCTCCAGCGAATACAGGGCAAGGCATAGAAGGGCTGAGATGGGCAGAGATGGGCCGGAGGAGCTTGAACCCTGCTACACCTCCAGCATGTAATCAGACAGTGAGAATGGCCTCTCTCTGGGAGCCCTCTGGCCCAACACCAGCCCATTGACAGACAGACAGACCCCCTCCACCATCCAGCCCATTGACCGACTCCATTGGCAAGTTTCCATCTGAGATTTACCCCAGTGTTATACGCAAAAGACTCAACTTTTCTGTTTCCATCTACGCGGGCCAGTACCCGTGTCTCACTGGGCCATGGCTCCAGCGGACCTGCTCTCACTTGGGGCCAAAGCCAGGCCACTGGTACTTTTCAGCTGTCATTTACATAACAATGGCTAACTGTGGACTTTAACACCTTCTCACAAAACAACTGTCTTGATGATGCAGAGGTTGTTGATTTCTGCTCACCCCAAGTCTTTAGTGTCACACTCCTGATGAAAACACAATAACACTACAGCTTACATTAACATAAAACACAGGCGACCCACTGGTGCTGGGTAAGTCTTGAGTGCTGTATTAGGCCTACTGCTTATAGAATCCCCAAGGAATTGATATAGAATTCTCTTCTGATAGCCCTATGGGACACAGGTCAGCTGTTCATTACCAATTACTACAGCACATGAAAATGTAGGCTATGGTTTCTACGCCAAGGGGTCTGTTTTTGTGCCTCAAACAAGCTGTGGGAATGAGACATACTGTAGATATTTAGAAGCTGTGGTAAGCCCAGAGTGAGACACGACTAAGAACAGTTGTCCAGTTTATACTAAGTAATTTTGGAATCAGACAAGGGCCAGTATTTTATTGAGACCTGAATCATCTCCCAAACTCTTCTCACATCCTTAGACACACACACACAAGAAGTAAGGAGTTGCTACGTGAGGATCATCATGCAGCCCTGCTAATCTGCCAAACATTTGTGGGCAGCTTGCTCTCCTGCTCACAGCCACAGAAGGTGCAGAGAGGCACTGGTGGACTTACCATAAGGCAGAAGAGGCAATTGCCTCAGGCCTCACATCATCAAATCAAATCAAATTGTATTGGTTACATACACATATTTAGCGGGTGTAGAAAATTGCTTGTGTTCCTAGCTCCAACAATGCAGTAGTATCTAACAATTCACAACAATACACACAAATCTAAAAGTAAAAGAATGGGGCCTCATGAGCTGGGCATACATACAAAAATAAAAATTTTTTTTTTAAATAATTGCTCCACTAGATGCAAAAAAATAAGAAAACAAATCCCATCAAAATCTGTCTGTTTAAGATAGAGATATCTCCATGGGCTGCGTCTCAATCCCACATCCGCCAATGTCGGCCTTCCGCATCTGCGGTGGAAGGTAGCCGAGCTACAGCGGTGTTCGTCAGACAAGGAGTCATCCCGAAAATCTGTCTTCTCACGAAAACGTCTGTACCTTCCGAACGGTTTGTGCTACACACTAATATGATGACACCTCTATGGAAAGATGAGACTCTCACAAACACGATGGTGCTCTACGACACTCACAAGTGTCATGGGGAAAAATGTATGGAAGTGAAAATGAATGGAAGTGAATAGGGCATTTCCATGTAAAAGTTATACAAGGATTTCCACTGTCATTTATTTTCTTATACTGTATCTCTCAGATATAGGACAGATACTTCAAAACATATTTCCTTTTGATAAAATGTTTGACTATCTGTTTTTCCATGTATGAATCTGTTATTCAATGCAATTCTATGGGCCAAATTGAAAGTTTTATCCACACCCCCAAAAAATATATTTTCTTTATACCTACAAGGGTCATAAAATTCTAAATCAAATAGCTAAATGATCCTTGGTATGACCATCTTAAAACAATTCCATATGTTAGCTTACTAGAAACCCAGCCCTGGGCCCTTAGACTATAGGGGGATACAATACGCATTTATTTAGTAAAAAGACAGGTGCTGCTGATAATACTGCCATCATCGTCGAGGTAGAGGCAGAGGACATGTATGTGTAGCCCATGTAGCTGATGCTGTCTGGTCAAAAAGATTATGGCGTGTCATACACCTTTTGGCCAGATAGCATCAGATACATGGCCTACATACAGGATAGTAAGACAAGAGGGGCGCTGTTTCGCTCGCTCGAATGCTTTCTCCGGTGAGATAGTTTCAGCCACTTGCGAATTGAAGAAAAGTTGGCGGTTGCACAGGTCACTGTTTGGATGCTGGAATTATTTTGGATGAACGTGCGAAGGAACCTACTTTTTGAAGTGATTTGCTTGACAATTAGGTGAAAACATGATGACTGGTTGTGTTCATGGCACATTAAAAGGTAACACATTTTTATTTGGAGACCCCTCTCGAGGCCCCTCTGCCTGGGGCCTCCAAATCTCTAAGTCCACCCCTGCCAAGAGGCTGCCTTGTTGTGTCCAGACTCAAGGCTTACCCTAGGCTGGGAAAATCCACAGCAAATCCTCCCAGTCCCACCACACACCAAAAGGCAAGCCAGACCTCGGCCAAAAAGCCCTTATGATGTGGTGGAGTGGAGCCCCTCCCAAACCACATGAAAACCCAAGCAAAAGAAATGCCCAAATCATATGCCAATTAACTCTGGGAAAGGATTTATAGAATGACCTCGGCATTGGTGGACAGGGTATAAAGACATTAATCAATGCCCTACTGAGTGGGAAATGACTTAACAATAATACTGGTGAACTCTGTGGTTAACTGATGTTAGATGTAACCCTTCATAGAGGAGAGTAGTGCAGGAGTTTCACAGACAACACACTAGCCACCCACTTGCCGACTCACGGACCCACAGGGGGGCTACCCACGAGCCTACCCACGGGTTCACCGGGAAGCTACCCACAGGCCTACAGGGGAACTACCCACGGGTCTACCCACTGGCCCACAGGGGGGCTATCCACGGACCTACCCACGGGACCACAGGGGGCCTACCCACAGGCCTACAGGGGGGCTACCCACGGGCCTACCCATGGGCCCACAGGTGGGCTACCCACGAGCCTATGTTGGGGGAAAGTGGTTACCCCAAGGATCAATAACAACCAGGTGTTCCCCAGTGGTTGTGTGCAGAATATCAGGAGAGACTGGGAGAACTACCAGGTTTGAGGGTTTCTGTGCTCCCTGCTTGTGACTTTGTAATATCTCTTGTATATCTGTAATGTCTCCTGATGTTGAGCAGAGAGATCCTGAACCCTCCACCTCTTCACCTACAGCTCAGACCTGGCTGTCACAGGAAACTAAGAGGCACTTAGGAGGAAGTGTGCGTGTCAGGCATCTGCTGTCACGATAACATTTTTACATTTTAGTCATTTAGCAGACGCTCTTATCCATAACAGATGGATTATTATTATAAAAGCTGGACAGACATTCCTCTTCATTCACATTGTTTGGACATATTTGGCTGACTGCAGCAAACCACTGACAGCTACTATCCTCACTATCTGACGTATTCTGGTCCACAACAGGAAGGAAGGCATTTCTGTGATGATCAGTTAATGTCAAAAACAGACCTCATGGCATTATTTCATCTGACTGTGTGTCTTTTTGGGCGTGTGCCGTATTTTTCCATTGTAGGCTATGGTAACTGTTGGACCAGCATTGTAACACACACAGTAGTTGGGTGGATACTCAGACAGTGTATCAAAAATACTTGTCATCAGGTACTCATCACAGACAACCAGGCTGTGAAACTCAACACTGGTGTAGATGACAGATTGAGGAAGCAGGTTGTTGGTCGCCTGTCTGTCCAGTGGTCCTGCTGGAAGATATTTTACCAAATGGAGGTTTCTCTTCCTGAGCTCATAAGATGGAGTCACCCAGAGGTTTTGTGTTACTGCAGCCCTATGAGAAATGCATACTGTTTATCATTGGATGATGGGAAAAATCAAGACAGAGGGGGAAGCAGAGGGGGAAGCCGCCAATGGGAAAATAAATAGAGAGCTGAATCTTACACCACAGGAAACAAGTTTTTAACCTGAACAGTTGGATGTGCTATATAAGAGAATGGATCTGGTGCTTGTCAAAGAGAGTTTCCCGTTGAAGGAATCATGAAAAAGCTGCTCCATCTGCAAGCCGTCCCGTCTCCTTGTAATTCCAACCTTAACCACTAGAGGACATAGCTGTATTACAGTAAAGTCAGGCCAATACCTAAGTGTGTTACTGTATGACACTCTTTTCCAAGAACTGTAACTATCCAAGACAAGCATAATGTGTATGTGTAGTTCCTGGCAGCGCAGTAGATCTTCCAAGTCCCTATATATTGTCTGTGATGGCTGGAAAGGTTTATTTGTCAAATAAATGATAGTGTCCAGGTGCTTTTTAAAACCCTTAAGTCTTTGTCTGTTTTGTTTTGCAGATTACACCCTCATCCAGCTCAAACAGCACAACTGGAGGTAAGAATTGTACTACACAAATGAGATAAAGGTGATAATGTACTCAAAGCAGCATATATTTCCTGACTGATGTGTGAGAGTGTTCTTTATTCAAGAGTAGCCTACCGGTGATGCTGAATATCCATTTTGGGTTTACAGACATGGTATTCCTGGTACAAGCTGTCGTTATTAGTTCTGGTATCCCCATACCACTAATGTCCTGCTCCATGTTGTACTGTATGGCAAAAGAGAGCTTAGGTAATCAAGGACACCCATCCATGCAGCTTGTCTAGCTGACAGACAGACAGATTGGTGAAAGAGAGGCTGAAGCTCACTATTTTTACAGCCCAAATCCTCCTGCCCTAAACCATGGTGTGCTTTCCCCTTGTCGTCTTCCCATGCTGCATAGCCATTTAGTACAGTGAGAGATGTCAATGCTGAAAGACACAAGGTACCACAGCACTCTCTGTAGCTTGTTTTCTCTCAAACCCCTGAATCAGAATCGATTCACCTATTAGCAGTGTAAATATAGGTATTGTTGAACGGCGTTAATGAATGCTCCTTGATTATGGTGGAGGAAGTCAGGTCACTTAATCAGCTCTGAGGGTTGAGAGTTCAGGGTTGAGGGGGTAAGTGAGGACAAGCAGCTAGGGATTACCCAAGGTCACTGTGTTCCCCCAGCTGTCAGAAGAGGTAATGCAGGGGCTGATGAATTAGGTACTGGGGACACCCCACCATACTGTAAATCACTGCACTTATAGCCTGTTAGGAGGATAGAGAAAAACAGCAGGAAAAAAGCAAAACAAGATGCTGACAGAGAAGTGTGGGGAAGTTACAGTTAGACCAATGATGTGCCTTTAGAGCTGTATGACACCACCCTAACCTTGTCTCTCTCCCCACATCTCCTTCACCCCTCCCTGGCCCAGCCTGGCTCCCCCTGGCCTGTCTGCTTTTATAAACAGCTGTTGTGGTGCCGGGCTCCATGCAGTGACCCCAGGGTCAGCCAGATCCCAGAGGTGCCTGGGGGGGCAGCTCAGCTCAGCTCTGCTCCAGGCAGGTTCTGTTCATAGATATTTTTCCAGCGTTTGTTTTCTCTTTCCTCTCTGTTTGTTCGGGCAGAGTTGGGCCCTGTTTATCTTTCCTGACGATGCTATGGGGACACTTTCACACATATGCTCCCACAGGAAAGCTTGTATTACACAAACAATTTTTCTTAAAAATGAAAACAGGATACACACCAGGCACATCACATTTTTTTAAAAATGTTTCAGCAGCAATATTTGATGAGTGTCCTAAATCTATTTTAAACGATCTGCAGATGGCTCTGTTTTTGCCCTAGTGGTTGCGATAACATAGACCAGGGCTTCCCAACCCTCTTCCTGGAGATCTACTGTCCTGTAGGTTTTCAGTCCAGCCCTAATTTAGCATATCTGATTCAGCTAGTTAAGGTCTTATTGAGCAGCTAATAAATAGAATCAGGTGTGTTAAATTAGGGTTAGACTGAAAACCCACAGGACGGTAGATCTCCAGGAAGAGGTTGGGCAGCCCTGACATAGACAGTGAGTAGAGTACATTATGGCAAACAAAAACTGTAAGGCAGACTGGGAAATATAAAGGAAGGATGTTGTGCCAACTCAGAATTAAGCTGACAACACACACACATACACCCACACAACTCAGCCGGTTGGTGTGAAAACTCTGCTCGTTGAATTGCACAGTGTGATATGAGACAAGGCTAATGAGGCACACTGTAATTGTGCAAGTGTGCGTCTGTCCCGCCTGAAGAGTGTTGAAACTGGTAATCCCCTCTACGTGCAGGTTCAGCACCAGCCATCACACCAGTCATCTCTTCTCTGGTCCAGATCCATCCGGCTGGGGAGCTGCCAGGAGGCAGGAGTGGATGTGGTTGGGGCATCCAGGACTCTGTACAATGGCTTTATGAGCTCATCACCTCTATCCATATGTCCTGTGATGGACAGCTGTTTTACCCTCTCTCCTCTCTCTCCTCTCCTCTTCCCCAGTGTTAATGTTCCAGGAGGTGTGGGGTCGTAGTTTCTGCCGGACCATAGAGAAGCTGGTGGAGGTGGTTCAGGAGTATCCTGGGGAGGTGGAGCACATCTATAGCCCCTCCTGTGTGCCCCTGGTGCGCTGCGCTGGTTGCTGTGGCGATGAGAATCTGGAGTGCCATCCTACTCTAACCTCTAATGTCACCATGCAGGTAATAGGGCACGTCCCTTATGAGGATGGCTGCCATGTTGTGAGGTCATCAGTGTATTATATTTGCATGCCAGGAAAAGAACTTTTAATTTTGTTCTACTTTTCCGCCCGCAACATTCAATTCAACATCAGCAATTTGTCTTAATTCTCAGCTGTTGAAAATCAAGCCAGCGGAACAGGGTCAAGAATACGTTGAGATGACTTTTGTGGAGCACCAGACATGTGAATGTAGGTAAGAGACAAAAAGACTTCCTGCTTTGGTAATAATATGTTTGGTCAAGTAAACCAGTTGCATTGTAATATGATCTTATGTGAAATGATATGACTGAGTTTTGTTCATATTTCATTCTCAGAATCAGGAAGGCTGTGGTGAAAAGTGAAAGGTGAGCATACCAATTGTCATAATGTCCATTGTAAAGTTGGAGAGTGGGACAGAAATCTTGCTGTGTCTGTAACAGTTGATAGGTTGATGTGGTCCTCTGTAGCTCAGCTGGTAGAGCACGGCGCTTGTAACGCCAATGTAGTGGGTTCGATCCCCGGGACCACCCATACACAAAAAAATGTATGCACGCATGACTGTAAGTCGCTTTGGATAAAAGCGTCTGCTAAATGGCATATTATTATTATTATAGGTAAGCTCATATTGTCTTTCTGCAGGAGGAGACAAAGAGGAAGAGGAAAGAAAAGAAAGGAGAGACCGAGAGTGAAAGATTGTGACAGGTGAGTAATGATGTCTGGAAAATTAAGAAAAATATCTGTCCATCGACCATACATTACCCCTTTTACTTCCATGTACAGTAATAATGCCCCACATGTTAATGTGTCATCTATCTCGTTTGTGTCCAAGGTGTCAGCCCCCTCGCAGGTAACTGCACTAGCAGCCCTACCTGTTGCAACCGGCATCTCTATTTATTCTCTGCCCAGCGCTAACAGTATCAAGAGTCTTCTAAACACATGTATCAATACTGTGTCTCTCTGCACCTAGAGACTCAATCAGCTGGGTTGTTATGGCGACTGACAGGCCCTCCTGCCTAGGGGAGTGTTTCTGACTTAGGTTCTACAGGAAGCACATGTTGCTGGGTGAAAAAAACACCTTGGTGACAACTGACCTGACAGATGTTTCTGTGAAGTGGTGCAATGGAGGACCAAACTTTTTAAGGTTTTAGACTAACAATCATGATGGATATGTTTTTGCATTATTACATGATTATTATTGTTTAGTGTTGTTTTTTTATTGCTGTGGTTGTTTTTGCTGGTGATCCCGTTTAAAAAGAATAGGCCTACTTATGAATAAATGTTATATTCATGAAATTGCAATGTTGTTTCATTAAATCTTTAGGACTAACTGACTAACCAAATACTTGTGGTCCTCTCATGGCACGTAGGTTCCTAAGTAGACTAGCAACTCCTTTCCCCAACTGAATGAGTCATATTTAACTTCTTGTCTTGTGGTATAAAACTTTGTACAATCATACATGGACTATGGATTAGTACAGTTAGTACTATCCTTCAGGGTTGGGTAAGTTACTTTGTAATTGTAATCCGTTACAGTTACTAGTTACCGGTCCAAAATTGTAATCAGTAACGTAACTTTTGGATTACCCAAACTCAGTAACGTAATCTTATTAAGAAGACAAAAAGGATCCATCAAATGCATTTGGTGTGTCATCATAGTGGTCTCTGACTTGTAGACAGACTCGCTCAGGTGGAACAAACTTAAACTTGCGCCTTTTTCAATGTTGAATTGAATGTCATTGAGAAAACAGAAAGGTGTAATTTACTTATTCACAAACATTCTTTCTGAATTTAAAGTAATCCTCAAGTTTTTCAAAAGTATCTGTAATATGATTACAATATTTTAGCTGGTAGCTGATTACAGGTACAATTTTCTGTAATCGGATTACATGTAATCAGTTACTCCCCAACCCTGCTAGCATTATGTGGAGACTAGGATGTATTGAGTTCTCAATAGACACTGCAGCAGCAACAGGACTATACTAGTAGAATATCTCCCTCCAGTGGTTACAGAGGGCATTTTCTGAGTAATGTATTTACGTAAAAGACAAAGGTTTGTTTAGTATTAAGTCACAGGATGCTGCTGCTGAGGGGAGGACGGCTCATATGGCTGGAAAAGAATGTCTGGAACGGATCATTGGAATGGTATCAACCACATGGAAAACATGAGTTTGATGTGTCCGAAACCATTCCATTGATTCCGTTCCAGCCATTACTATGAGCCCGTCCTCCCCAATTAAGGTGCCACCGGCCGCCTGTAGATTAGGTATATAATGATATTATTGATATAATAGGTACAGTTATATGTCTATTGTCTTTTTTTCCATAGGACAATGTGTTGGTATGCCTCTGTGAATTTGTACTTTTAGGGAGTTAAATAGAAATGATCATAAAAGGACTACAAAATCAACATACATGTAGGCTATGCAATATACTGTAACATACACATCGTATCATTCATCTTAGTGTTAAAAAACCAGGCACCAAGTCATTGACCATGTAGCATAATAATCAATAACTCCAAAGCAAGTAGACCTATACTCCGGTATCATTGTAAGGAGCTGTGTTAAAATGAGCTGAGTTAAACCAACTTAAGCTATGAACGAGAACTGACTGGTTGCTGTGAAAAGGGCCTATTGGACCATATCAACTCTGTTAATATTTTAACCTGGTGGTCAAGACCCTCAGACTAGGTGGGCTCCTTGTTTCTCTATTTCATTTATAGGCCTATAACTCCTGCTGCCATTGCTATTTCTTGACTTATGGCGTTATTGTGCCGTTTCAGATAGTTTGTCATTAAGAAATGCAGTTTGTCAAAATACAATGGATGTTTCTGATTGTCTCACAGCTGAACCAAAGAATAAAATGAGTTGCTGCTCTTAGGGTTTCAATGTTTTCTATTCCCCTCTGTCATCCTCTCACCTTAGCCTATCTATCAAATATTGCAAGTCATCTTACAGTCTACACACTAATCCAGTACACTATCACATTGCCCTCCACTGTGGTAGGTCTGTCTTTAACATTACTTTCATACTGGCCTTTTTGTGTATTATTCATTGAATAAAGAAGTGGCTCATGTGTGGGTTGATGTGTACATGTACAGGACTATGAATGATGTTGAACACTTGGGAGTGGACAACTGTTTCATCATTTGTGCTTGTTGTGTATTCTTTAAAAAGCTTGAAGACTAAGATCTTCAATGTCATTAAATATGACCAAGAACAAATTTGTTCAGGAGAAGTGTACTGTATGCCTATCCATTTTATCACAAAATAAAATCTGTGATGTTGTAATCAATTATGAAAAAGGATATGCCCAAACATCTGAGTAAATATTATATATTGTAAATAGATATAGATATATTATAACTGTGAAGTGTGTGCAACAGTTAATAAAGAAATATATCATTGTCTTATGTGGCTAAAATATCATTTTTGGGGGTTGTTGTGATAAACCCTTTGTGTGTATGTGTGTGCATGTGTGCGTGTGTGTGTGTGTGTGTTTGAGAGAGAGAGATGGAGATATAGAGAGATGTTGATCACAGCTCAATCTGTTTTGAAGTATATCTAAAGTACACAGGTATACAGGATAATAATGGCACAGAGACAGTTTTTTATTATTATTTATTATTATATAACACCTGGCGCACGTATTATCAGATGTTCCTCTTGGTTCTGAAGAGCCCCATCTAGCTAATAAGTGTTCTTTTAACAAGTGGGTCACGTTTGCATAAACTGTATTCCATGGCATCTAATCATGACCACTGAGGTATAAAGAATCACAACCCATTTCCAGTCGCAATACCAAAGTTATGCATCAATAAAAACGCTTAAAAATTAGGGAGTGACGTGTCAGGTGACGGCGCGGGTGAGAGAAAGTGAAGATTGAGGTAGAAGCTGGAAAGATGGCTGAAGCTGGAGCAAGTGGTGAACTTGAAACTAATGGCTGTAAAAGCTAGGAAGATTGGACAATGGTCCAAAATAATAGAAAAAGGACCAAAGTAGTGCTGGAAAAGAAAACGGATAGTTATGTGAATGCCCCTTGTTTTGATTTTGTGTACTTCTGAGAAGCAGAAAGAGTGTCACGCCCTGACTCAGGGGACTCTTATATGTTGAGTCAGGGTGTGTATATTCTTTGTTGTGTATGTTCTATGTTGTACGATCTAGTATGTATGGTTCTATGTTGGCCGGTGTGGTTCCCAATCAGAGGCAGCTGTCGTTCGTTGTCTCTGATTGGGGACCATACTTAGGCAGCCTATTGGCACTAGTGGGTTGTGGGATCTTGTTCCGTGTAAGGTATGTTGTTTGTGTCTACCTTGGACTTCACGTTTCATTTAGTTTGTTGTTTTGTCGTTGTGTTTATTCGTTATAATAAACATGTATGCTTATCACACTGCGCCTTGGTCCGTCCCGTCCTTCAACGAACGTGACAAAGAGCTTGTGTTGCGTTGTACTCGATTCGAGAAGGTTGCCATGTCATGCGTAGCTCTTCGGAGCAGGGAACCCCTCAAGGGGGTAATATCTGGCGTTTCGTGGGAAGTAAAGATGGAAGAAAATAAAAACCTCCCTGGAGTGATTGATGCACGTCGGATGAATCGAGTAGTTAATGGAAAGAAAGTGAAGAGTCTATCTGTTCTTTTGTTTTTTGAAGTTGGGGTATATGATTTACCGTTCAAAAGCGTTTGTCCCAAGATTGCTGCAATGTGATCACTGTAGTGCCTTTGGAAAGTGTCTGTAAAAGAAAGAAGCCAAGGTGTGTGAAAGTTGTGGAGAAGATCATATTGAGTGTGGTTTGACTTTTGATCTTGTGAAATGTTTCAATCGTGGTGGGAACCATGTTGCTTCATCTTTGGAATGCCTGACGAGGGTGAAGGAAAATGAGGTGGCCAACCAGAACGTATAATATGCAGCGGCTGTCAAGAGGGTTTGAGGGAGCGAATGGTCCTGAAGGGCCCATAGTGGTGGATAGGCATTCACTACAGGCGGCAGGGGTTGCCTCTCATCAGCAGGACCCAGATATTATACAGAAGGTAGACTTTGATCAACAGCACTGCCAAAGTAACGAAAAAGTCTAGAAAGATGGACATCATTGTGGATGCGGCGGAGCGGTTTCTGGGAGCCTGAGTGGGGAGATATGGAACTTTGAAGGACGCAAGAAGTGAGAGTCTGTTTTGTTTTGCTTTGTTTTGTTTTGTCCACTTTTATTAGTTGTGCAGAGTAAGTTTGTTTTCTCCATCAAGTATGTTTTGTTTTTATATTTCGAATCCAATAGTGGGCGGCAATTCAACTTTTTGAATGTAGACCTCCCTAAAACCCCACTGAAGAAGGAGGGAGTGACTGTTTTCTCAGCAATGTCTGCTGCCCAGTCATGCCATAAAGACTAAAATAAAGTTGTGAGAGCTTTTGTGCCGAACCCACTAAGGTGTTTCAGATGCCAAGCTTATGGTCATGTTGCAGCAGTGTGTAGGAGGGAGATTCCGAGATGTGATAAGTGTATTTGTATTTGTAAATAGGATACCCATTAGCTGCTGCCTCGGCAGCAGCTACTCTTCCTGGGGTCCAGCAACATTAAGGCAATTATATACAATTTACAATATTACATGACATGACATTTCATAACACCTTTCACAACACATTAAGTGTGTTCCCTCAGGCCACTACTCTACTACCACATATCTACAATACAAAATCCATGTGTACGTGTGTGTAGAATGCGTGTCTTATCATGTGTATGTCTGTCTGTGCCTGTGTGTGTCTCTTCACAGTCCCCGCTGTTCCATAAGGTGCTTGCATCAGTTATCTGATGTGGAATAAGAGTTCCATGTAGCCATGGCTCTATGTAGTACTGTGCGCCTCCCTTAGTCTGTTCTTGACATGGGGATTGTGAAGAGACCTTTGGTGGTATGTCTTGTGGGGTATGCATGAGTGTCCAAGCTGTCTGCTAGTGGTTTAAATAGACACCTCGGTGCATTCAGCAAGTCAACACTTCTTACAAGAACAAGTA